GGAGGATAAAGCAAAGAAGATGGAGGATAAGATCAAGTAGTTTGAAGATCAAATGAAGACAGTTAGAGGAGAAGATAGTTATTACGAGGTTGACGCTTTAGAATTGAGTTTGGTCCCAGATTTGATTTTTTCTCCGAAATTTAAAGTCCTGGATTTCGAGAAGTTTGACGAGAATAGTTGCTCTTCAGCCCACATTACCATGTTATGTCAAAAAATGATAGAATATGTGGGAAATGACCAACTCTTGATTCACTGCTTCTAGGAGAGTATGGCAGGTTCAGCTATCCAGTGGTACAACCAGCTAAAACCGTTCACACATCAAGACATGGAAAGATCTCTCCAAGTCATTCTTGGAGCAATACAAGCATGTAAATGACATGAGACCAGATCGTGCCATGTTACAAAGGATAGAGAAAAAGCATAACGAGAGTTTCAGGCAGTATGCACAGCGATGGAGGGATATAACCATGGAAGTTCATCCACCTTTGGATGAGAAAGAAATAAGGAAGCTCTTCATACACACTTTGAAGGCTCCTTTATTTGGACACCTAGTTGCAATCACATCAGGGAACTTTTCTGATCTCGTTATTACCGAAGAAATGGTGGAAACGACCATAAGACAAGGGAAGATAGAGGGAGGTGAGTCAAGTAAAAGACCTGCCATGAAGAAGAGAGAATGAGAGATCAACAACATCAATAATTTTAATACCAATAAAAGTGTTACGATCTCTAAGTCAAAACCAACTGCAGTTGTACCGTCAGGTACTTGTAGACAAGATACGAGGGAACCAAGGAGGGAAAATGAGCATTTCGATATGATTTTCATGAATTACAAGGACCAGTATCTTTTCGACACACATATGGTGTCACCATGCCTAGTAGAACCACTAAAGCCCTCATACCCCAAGTGGTATGATGAAAACACACATTGTGATTATCATGGTGGTGTCCTGGGGCATGCTATTAAAAATTGCCTCGCCTTTAAAAGGATCGTTCAAAGGATGCGTAATAGGAACTGGATTCATTTCAACAACTTATAAACACCTAACGTTGCGTAGAACCCTCTGCCTAACCACCAAGAAAGTAGGGTTAATGCAATCATCAAGGAGATGGGCAAGAGAGTCAAAGCAAGTGTTTTTGAAGTGAAGTCTCTTCTGGCTTGGGTATGGAGGCAAATACTAACGACAGGATTTCTTGTACCATATTTTAACACATCGAAATATTAAGGTAGTAACCATTGTTGTTATCATAATGAAAAGGGACATGATATACACGAGTGTTCCGAATTTAAACTTTGATCTAACTCATAATGTATAGGAAGGAGTTAGAATTCTATGAGGAAAACAAGGACACTCCAGAAGCTAATGTTTATGTGACTGGAGATTTATCTGACAAGGGATATGGCACGGGCTGCCCTTTGATAATCACCCTTAAGACGAAGGTAGATAAGGCACTGAAAAAGGTAGTGATAGTGGCACTAAGACTTTTTCCTTACAAAGACAACAAACAAGTTCCCTAGAAGTATGAATGCCAAGTAAGCTCTTTGAATGAAGATGTTAACGAAGTGGGGCATTCTATTGGGAATACTATTCCCAAAAGTCTAACTTACCCCAGAGAATGCTTGAACCATTCAAAGAGGATGAACCAACAATGAACGAACCCATAAGAGAGGAGGAATCCATGGAGTTTTTGAAGTTCTTGAAACATAGTGAATATAGCATTCTAGAACAACGATATAGCCTGCCAGTACGTATTTCAATGTTGGCATTATTGTTGAGTACGAAGGCACACAAGAAGGCACTGTTGGAGGTCTTGAATCAGACATTTATGCTAAAAGACATACTAGTCAATAAGTTGGATCGACTGGTTAACAATATACATGCTGATAATCTAATCTTATTATCTGATAATGAGATTACATCCGGTGGAAGGGGTCGGGCTAAAACATTACATATAACCACTCATTACAAGGGGCATGCTTTGTCGAGTGTATTAATCAAAAATGGTTCTTCTCTTAATGTAATGCCTTTGGTCACTCTTAAGAGGTTACCAATGGATACTTCCCACATGAGTACATGTCAGAGTATGGTCTGAGCATTTGACGGGACAAAGAGGGAAGTGCTCAACATAATTGAAGTACCATTGACCATTGGGTCTGCCACATACAATATCAAGTTCCTGGTGATGGACATTATGCCTTCTTATAACTACCTTTTAGGAAGCCCATGGATTCATCAAGCTGGGGCAGTACCATCAACACTACACCAGAAAGTCAAGTTTTTTTATAACTGGGCTCTTGTAATTATCAATGTTGAAGAAGACATAGTAGTAAGTGTGAGCATCGATGCCCCTTACATAAATGTGGACGAGGAGGATCTATAATGTTCATTCTAATCATTAGATTTTGTCAATGCCACATTTGTGTCTGAAGGGGGTAAGATTCCCAAACCTAGATTCTAGATTGCACCAAGATGGAAATCAAGCAAACTTTAGGGAAATGTGCAAAGAAATGAAAATGATTCGGGAGTTCTCTACAGGGAATAATCAACCCATTTTTCCTGTATTCAAGCTAGACTAGTTTGGTCTTGGATATCAACCCAATCATCGGTAAAGAAGGAGAGAGATTCAAAGGTACCAAGAAAGGAGGAAGACAAGATTAATTGGAGAAGAAGTTCAATGGGAACCAATGTCTTTTCCTCCCCTTTATAATATATTCAGATCTGGCGGGTATGTGATTAAGGGAGAAGTAATGATAACCTTACCTGATCTAAAAAGTACTCTGAAAAATTTGATCATCAATTCCATAACAGCGGATGACACCGAGGATGTTGATAAATCCGAAATTCGTCTATTACCGCTAGAGTTCGTGCTTAACAATTGGACTGCTGAAGAACTACCTGTGGTTTTCAAATCTCTTTCAGAGTAATACTCAAACTTTCCCTATTTGCCTATACCTGGGGAAATATGTGATATTTTGTAAGGGTTAATGAATTATTTCTATTTACATTTCAATAAAATATGTAATTTTTCTTTCTGGTAAATATTTTTTTCTTTCACTTCTAATTTATATCCATATAGTACATTTGTTTCTCCATTCCATGTGGGATGTTTTCATTTCGTATATATACATTTTCCCTTATTTTCTTTCAAGTCTTTGGATGTTAATAATGTGGATGATGATGATTCTGACCTCGTAGGTCGACTTTAAGCAGCTCAAGTGTCTTAGAGAAATTGTTGAATGTGAAAATGAAGAAGAGAGCAACTTACCTTCCGAGCTATTAAGAATGGTGTAAAGCGAAGACAGATAAATATTGCCCCATGAAGAGAAAATTGAAAATTTGAACTTGGAAACTGAAGAAGAAAAGAAGGAAATAAATATTGGCATGACACTCTCATCTGAGGTGAGGCAAAGTTTGATAGACTTACTTCAAGAGTTCAAGGACGTGTTTGCATGGTTGTATCAAGACATGCCTGGGCTAAAAACGGATATGGTAGTCCATAAACTACCAATCAAACCAGAATGCAAACCTAGATAACAAAAGCTAAGGAGGATGAGACCTAAAATGGTCCTTAAGATAAAAGAAGTCAAGAAACGGTTTTATGTTGGTTTTCTTAAAGTGGCCAAGTATTCAGAATGGGTGGCTAACATAGTGTCACTTCCAAAGAAGGATGAAAAAGTATGCATGTGCGTTGACTATTGAGACATTAACAAAGCAAGTCCTAAAGACAACTTCCCATTGCCATACATAGATACTCTGGTAGATAATACAACCAAAGATTCTTTCTTTTCATTCATGAAAGGATTCTCATGATACAACCAAATCATGATACCTCCAGATGACATGGAAAATACTACATTCGTCACAATATAGGGAACATTTTTTTACAAGATGATGCCCTTCAGACTAAAGAATATTGGGTAACGTATGAAAGAGATATAATAACCTTATTTCATGACATGATGCATAAGGAAATTGAAGTTTATGTTGATGACATGATTGTCGAAGCACAAATTGAAGATGAACAAATCGAGAATCTAAGGAAACTCTTCTAAAGTTTGAGAAAGTTTCAATTGAAGCTGAATCCAAACAAATGCACATTCGGAGTAACATCTGGGAAGTTGCTTGGCTTCGTTGTTAACAGAAAAGGCATTGAGGTTGATCCAGACAAAGTCAGAGCCATCCAGAATTTACATGCCCCGCGAATACAAAAAGAAGTTCGATGTTTTTTTATAGACTAAATTACATCGCTCGATTCATATCTCAGTTAACAGATAAATGTGATATGATTTTTCATCTTCTTCGAAAGAATAACTCCAGAACATGAGATGATGACTGCGAAATTGCTTTCAAGAAAATAAAAGAATATTTTAATTGCACTCCTGTTTTAATGTCTCCCATCTCAGGAAAGCCTTTGTTTCTATATTTGTCCATCTTTGAGAATTTGATGAGATGTGTCATGGGATAACATGATGAATCTGGGAGAAAAAAAGAGCCATTTACTACCTTAGCAAGAAGTTTTCTGATTGCGAGGTTAGATATCCACCAATTGAGAAGGTTTGATGTGCTCTAGTTTGGGCTACACGAAGACTCCGACAATACATGCTATATCATATCACCTGGCTAATTTCCAAGTTGGACCCGCTAAAATTCATGATGAGTGTATCCGCTCTTTCTAGAAGGTTAGCCTGATGGCAAATGCTATTATCTAAATTTGAAATTGAGTACGTAAGTCAGAAAGCTGTAAAAGGTAGTGCCATATCTGACTTCTTAGTAAGTAGGACTTTTGAAAATTATGAACCGTTGGACTTTGACTTCCTAGATGAAGATTTGATGGCCATATATTTGGAAGAAGCATGTACTTCCACTTGTAATTCTTGGAAAATGCATTTCGATGGTGCCTCAAATGCGTTAGAACACGGTATTGGGGCTATTTTGCTCTCACCCAAAGGAAATCATTACCCATTCACTAGCATATTGAACTTTGATTGCACTAACAACATGACAGAATATGAAGCCTATGTTTTGGGGATTCGAGTTATTATTAGACAGAATATAAAAACCTTGAGGGTGTATAGGGATTCTGCCTTGGTGGTATATCAACTTCAAGGAGAATGGGAAACAAAAGATATTAAACTGGTGGAGTATAAAAAGCTTATTTTGGATCTACTCAAAGAGTTTGATGAAGTCACTTTCCATTACGTGCCCAGAGAGGAAAACTATATGGCAGATGCCTTAGCTACCTTGACAGTAGCATTCAAAGCAGGTGGAAAGTTGAACATGATGTCAATCGACATGCAGTTATACGAATACCCAGATCATTGTTATCAAATCGAAGAAGTAAAAGATAAAAAACCATGGTACCATGACATTCTGCAGTACATTAAAATTCAAAGTTATCCAGAAGAAGCTACTGAAAATAACAAAAGAACAATTAGAAGAATGGCAACAGGGTATGTCTTTGATGGAGAAATCTTGTACAAGAGAAGTCATAATCAAGTCTTGTTAAGCTGTGTAGATGTAAGAGAGGGAAAGATGATTTTGGAGGAGGTACATGATGGAGTGTGTGGAACTCATGCAAATGGGCATATGATGGCAAGGAAATTCATGAGATGAAGATACTTTTGGTCTACATTGGAAAGTGATTGCATCAATTATGCCATAAAATGTCATAAACCCCAAGTATATAGGGATAAAATAAATGTCCCACCTCGTCCTCTTCATGTGATGACGACCCCATGTCCTTTTTCTATGTGGGGCATGGATGTTATTGGACAAATACATCCAAAAGTTTCAAATGGCCATCGATTTATCCTTGTAGAAATTGACTACTTTACCAAATGGGTAAAGGTTGCATCATATGCTACTGTCACACAGTCCATTATATGTAAATTCTTGAAAAACAAGATCATATGTCGGTATGGTTTACCCAAAAAGATCATTACCGATAATGCAACCAACTTGAACAACATGATGATGGATGTGCATGCGAACAAATCAATATAAGCCATCATAACTCTACTGCTTATCGACTAAAGATAAATGGAGCGATAAAGGCAACAAACAAAATATCAAGAAAATAGTAGAGAAAATGACTGAGATGTACAAAAACTGGCACGAGAAGTTACATTTTTTTTATTATCGAACTTCAGTACGTACTTCAAATGGGGAAACCCCATTTTCATTAGCATATATGAAGGTTGTGTTACCCACTGAGGTAGAAATCCCATCACTCTGTGTTCTGTCAGAAGTAAGGTTCGATGATGCGGAATGGGTGTAAACTCGTTATGTTCAACTGAATTTAATAGAGGAAAAGAGATTGAAAGCCATTCATAATGGTCGACTTTACCAAAAGTGAATGATTCAAGAACATAATAAGAAGGTGTACCCAAGAGTATTCCATGAAGGAGATCTAGTGCAAAAAAAGATTTGGTCAATCCAAAAAGATTACAGAGGAAAATGGATAATGAATTGGGCAGGACCTTATGTCGTGAAAAAGGTCTTCTCCGAAGGAGCACTAATCTTGACTGAAATGGATAGGCCAGAACTTCCCAATCCCGTTAACTCTAATGCAGTCAAGAAATATTTCGCTTAGGGTAAAAACCCAAAAAGGTGCCCTAAGTTGAAGTCAAAAAATATTAAAAAAATATATAAAACATAGAGTGAAAACCCGAAATGGCATTCTAAATTGAAACAAAAACAAAAAATAAAATGGTGGGTCCAATATAAAAACCCCCAAAAGGGCATCTTGAAACCAAGGGAGGTTCCAAGATGAAAACCCGAAAGGGCGACTTGGATAATGATCCGAGGTTCGCGCATGGGGAGATCTCGGATCAAAGCAACAAAGCATAATGACATCCTAGTCTTCGGATACTTAATAATTTGGGAGGAACTTGGCACTCTTCCAAACTTTGTCACAATCATCGAAGTCCATTAGACAAAGGCTATGCTCAAAGCATCTAACGACGAGCCAATTCAAAAGCATCCACATTATTGAAATCTAGGACACCTATTTATATTTTCTAATATTCTTTGCTTTTCAGAATATTTGCCATGTATTATTTCTATTCATCATAAATAAATATGGTCATTCCTTTTAAGGAACCCAATTTATTAGCATATTGGATTGAATTTGAATAAAAACGATTTATTCGCTCTAAAAAAGATCATTGCGTATTACTGCACAAAGATTTCCTGAAAGGTACATGGGTTTGGAAGCTGACAGAGGTTCTTGCACAATACTAACATGGGTACTAGTTTAAAACCCACCAAGTAAAAGGAAAAGCATTGATCAAAGATTAGGAGACATCAAAGTATCAAAAAATGAAGAAGAAAATCAAGACTTCTTTTTGAAACAAAATCCCAAAGAGTATATTAGATCAAAACCCATCAAGGATCAGAGAATCCAAAATCAAGACACGTCTGAAAATCAAGACTTACAACAAGATATTGAGATTTCTCTCTAAAATCCTAAAATAACATGTTTTGCATATGCATTTTAGGCATACATAAGAGCATTGCATCCATAGATTTTCACACATGGGTATAATTTTGCATATTTCAGCCAGAGTCGATTTCAACTTCGAAATGAAGGATATTGAACTCGAAAACAATACAACTTGGATATCAACCTCACAACGAATGACATTCAGCTCAGAAAAACACTCAATCTGAACTCAACTTCACAACGAATGAGTCACCCACGATTTCAACTTCATGATGAAGGATATCGTGCCTAAGACACTTAAGATCGACTCAACTTCACGGCGAGGGAGTCATCTACAATGTAGTTCAAAAGAACTATTTCTCAACTGAGTTCGTCTAGTCAAATTTCAACTTTACGATGAAGGACTTTTGGATTAGAAAATGACCCAAGATTAACTATGGTTTATCTTAACCTAATGGTGAGGGATTACCGCCTCACCCAGGCATCGAGCTAGATTTCAACTTCACAACGAAGGATATCATGTTCAAAACATTCAAGATTGACTCGACTTCACGACGAAGGGGTCAACTATGATTTCAACTTCATGACAAAGGATATCGTGCTCAAAGACATTTCCAAATTGACTCAACTGCATGACAAATGAGTTATTTGTAATTCAATAATAGGGAGCTATTTCTAACTGAAAGATTTGAGTCAAATTTCATCTCCACAATGGAGGATATTAGACTCAAAGACCCCTTCGTATCGAATGAAAATTTGTGTCTTTTTATCTTTGTCATATTTTCGTTACACGATAAATGTGCAAAGAAGGGCAACTGTAGACACTCATTTTCTTATGAGACTTTATGATTTTTTTATTTTATTTATAGTATATGGAATATATGATAGTATATAATATATAGTTTTGTCAAAAAATATATATGGTTTTGAAAATATATAGTATAGTTTTTAAAAACATATGGTATAGTTTTTGAAAACATATTATATAGTTTTAGAAAAACATATAATATATAGTTTTTGAAAATATATAGTATAGTTTTTAAAAACCTATTGTTATATAGTTTTGAAAAATATAGTATATAGTTTTTGAAAAACATATGTAATATATATATATTGAAAACATATTATATGAGTTTGAAAATATAATATATTATATAGTTTTTAATATATATATAAGTTAGGTTTATTATTATTATTATTATTATTATTATTTATTTTCTTTTTTTCATTTTCAGGTTTAAATGATCTAGTAAATTCTAGAATAGGGTCTAGAGTGAAGCCCAACCAGGTAGCCTGACCCAGCAAACTCGGGGGCCCAAAAAAGGAAGCCTAATAGCCTGACCTAATATATTAGGGTTCTAATGTTAGGTACGAGTGCCACATAACCAGGGCTGTTGGATATGGCATTTTGATCTAACGACCGAGAATGCACCAATAAAGCCAAAAACCACTAGCGGCCAAGCAAGTAACAACCGACAAAACGGCTAGCAATTGCATGTTAAACCGAATGGAATCAAAACAAAATCAGGAACCTTTTCCCCATGATTATTGGCAAGCGTGAACGATAACCTGAGTACGTCGGGATATGGAAGATATTACCAATTCAAAATAAGCCATAAAAAGGGAAAATAATCCCTGTCATATTTGGGAAGAACCTCCAACGGGAGGCTATATATATACTTGTAGGGGGACACTAGGGGAGAAAAAATAGAGAAACTAAGCAACATAATACCAAAAATGAAAGCAAAAGCGTTGAAATACCAAGCAAAATATCGCACAAACCATAAAAATATATATCAAAAAAGAAGAAAATACTTTGGTCTTGGCTCGGGAAAGATACAACCAGGGGAAGTTAAAGGGATTCTTCGATAAAGGTAAGAATAGAGTTATTCATGTTAGATCTATGATTATTGGGGTTTGTTTTGGAGATTTGGGGCTCGGGTTTGGCTTCGGGGTGTAAAGGGGAGTTTTTTGGGCTAATACTTTTCTTTTTCGGCCATCAGAGGCAGTGGTCGGAGTGGCGGGGCAGCGACGGTTGTCTACGTGGGATCTGTGGTCGGCCTTTGGCTGTTTGGGGTGAATTGAGAGCATTTTTTGAGAGAGGAGGAGTTTATTTTTAAAAATGGGATGAAATGAATATTTTTGGGGGGTTTTGGGCTATTTATAGGGAGGGTCTTTGTGTAAATACTAAAATTTTAAATTATTTCTATAGTTCCTAATATTTTGATGCGTAATTCATTTTGGTCACCTATTGTAAATTGGTCCTTAAATTTTGAATTAATTCAATTTAATCCTTGTTATATTTTTTGTATCTTTGTAATTTAACCCCTTAATTTTTTGTGTTTCCTTGCAGTTTTCAATTAATATAAGTTTAATCCTTGATTTTAATTTTTTTATAATTTAATCCATTAAATTTAAAATTTTCTTTTATTCTTTTTTATTTATTTATTTTTATTTTATTATTTAACATTCATTTGACTTTTTTAGGACAATTTTAACTGATCAAAGATAAGTAATTCGAATCGAATTTTAAATTTTAATTTAACTAGTAATTTTCGCAATTAAGACAACTGAAAAATTGAATTGGTACCGAAAGGGCAGTACAAGGGTGTTAATCCTTCCTTGATTGTAATCGACTCTCGAATTTGATTAATTTCTGGAAAAGTGCAAATCAGACAAATGGTAAGTCAATGTACCTGGTAAACCTAATTTTAAAAGATCGATGACGACTCCAACACATCAAAAATTTAGTCGAAACCCGATTTCGGGCCCACCCGAAGGACGATTACGACAGGTAGATCGGACGATCGACTGTTATAGAATGTATGGTCAGTACATGCCCCTAAATTATAACCGTACTTCTCTAAGCTGGAACTCCAAGGTCAAGTATACTCTTTGAATTAAGCTAACCTAAGTATTATGTCCATAAGGGCTCCATCTCTATAGGAAATGAATATCGTTAGTATTCGTATAGATCCTATAAAATGCCTCGGAGTAATGTGAATGTTTCTTATTCGAAACACTTTTCTGACTCTTGAATTGAAATTGGAATATGATACCCGCTCTATGAACCTATCCTCGTAGCTAAGCTATAAAAGTGGAACCTTGAAGTTACTTGTGGGATATAATCAAGGAAAATTTTTATGAAATGTATTCCTTTTGATTTCAA